AACCAAAAGATGACAAAGGCCTTTTTCCTCCCCTCGAGTTTGCACACAAGCTGTTGAATAACTGTGACAGGTGTAATGTGTAGGTCTTATTGTACTTCCAAAGGGCTAATAAAGGAATTCAAATCCTGGACTATTCTCTCCCTCTCCCTCGCTGAAACACCTTCCTCCTTTTTCACCACACTGTACCACTTGAACTCCAGTGCTCAATGGGTGGTGTGGCCTGAGGCAAATCACAGCTTCTCAAGGTAAAGCTTCCACGACCGCAATAATCAATTTTAAAGGACGACACACTGCAGTGTGTGTAAAGTGCATCCTTCAGAAAAAAGATCGGATTGTCATAAAACCTAGACTAACACTCTTAAAAATAAAGGTTCCTAAATGGTTCCCGGCTTGGGAGCATGGTCCTAGCAAAACCTTTACTTGATTTTGAACCCCATTATGTGGAATTTCTTAACTTTCTCAACTTCTTTCAAGGGCCAATATCATGGCAAAGTGAATTTTCCCCACTTTTTGAAATAAAGAATTTTAAAAGCAGTTCAAGTTTTATTAACATATCATTCATGCCCCAGTCCTTACAGTCCATATTTGGAAACTATGCACCAAAAACTGTCTGTTTTTAAGCCACTGCCTTTGAGATGTCACAAAAACCAACACATTTATATACTGTCACTGTAACTTAACTGGTAATGTAAATTACAAGATTTCTTTCCACGTAATTTTGGACGAGTTCTATTGGTCTGTTCATCATAAAGTTTTGATACAATAAAAGTTACTTGTGCTTTCAAATTATGTTAAAAAAAAAATGGAGACAAAAGGTTCTTGCTTGACAGTGATAAGGTATTCTCCTATTCTGCCTAGAGCAGTTTAGCTCCACCCTTTCACATTGAAGTTATAAGCAGTGTTCCAGCCCAGGCTGCTTTCTGAAAAAGGCACAACACAGGGAAGCCAGTCAAAACAGAAGTCATTTACATAGGCACAGTAACAAAAATAGTCTGAACAGCACAGTAACAAAAATAGCCTGTTTAAAACTACGGGATAAAGAAAGGTTGGAAATGATCATTTGAAAATGAATGATGGCTGTTTCTGCATACGTAAAACCAGACAAACATCATAAGGGGAGCTTAGGTAAATAAGAAGAATGGACCCTTTAAAAAGGTTCTTTACCTTCACGTTATTTACCACATTTTTTAAAATAAAAGTCTGGTGAAAGGTTCTTTAGGGAACCAAAAATGGTTCTCCTTTGGCATCACTCCAAAAAAATCTCCTCTGGCACATTTATTTTTAAGAGTGCAGTCTTACCCACAGCAAACAATCTTATTAGCTTTTTTCCGCAAAAGTTTAAAACCATTTATAAATGTCTGGCTATTATACTCTTAAAAATAAAGGTGTCAAAAGGGTTCTTTTAAGCAATGACATAGAAGAACCACTATTGGTTTCCCAAAGACTTTTCAAAGGATGATTTTTTGAAGAACCATTCTTTTGTACGAGATGTGCAAGTGTGAAGAACCTTTTAATGTTTAAACAATCTATATTTAATGTAAACGTTACAATACCAAGGTCTTTCCTAGAACCATACACCCAAGCCTAGACATATTTAGTAGCCTTTATTTTTAAGAGTGTAGAACAAAATACATATAAACAGTATTGATGATGATGCAGAAGAAGTTTAGGGTATTTCAACTATGGAACAGTGCGTTTCATCACAAAATACATTCCTCTAAGTCTAGGGAGCAGCTTTGTTGTGCCCCTAGTTTTCTCTTGCATGTCGCTCTGGATCTCTCCAGTGGCTGTGCTGGATGTAGGCCTGTGGATCGGCTTGGTGTGGTTGCGCCCCGGCCCAGCCAAGCGGATGGGTTCTGCCGTCCTCGTGCTCCTCTGAGAGAGGATAAAGGGATAAAGAGCCTCTGCTCCGGGACTGATTACTTACATCTGCCTTGTTAAATCCCAACGTGCATATACTACTACTGCTGCTGCCTGCTTTGTTGTAATGTGTGTGTGTGTGTGTGTGTGTGTGTGTGTGTGTTGTCTAACTAGGAATGACAGAGAAATCTATGTATTGATCTATATGCTGAAGGCCATCATACATCATAAAGGTTAATAAACACTACAATTTCATTTCTGGAGTTGTTATAAAATACCAAACATATGATGAGTGAAGACTCCTGCGCAGGTATGCTGAAGATCTCCAACAGAGGTCTTCAGTGTACACTCTTAAAAAAAGGTTCATCAAGGTTTCTTAGTAAAAAACCATAAACACTTAAGAACCCTTTGAATGATTAAAGGGTGGTTTGCATCATGAAAGGTCTTCAATTCGAGGCATAAATGTTAAAACGTGGAGACGCAAAAATGAGGAAAAAATAATCTACCTCTAAGATAAAGCTAATTCCTGCTATAGCACCTACGGGATTCTAGTAGTCGGTTAATGCTAAGCTAACGGTAATTTTCATTACCTTTTTTTGTGCATTTAACATTGAACAAATTGTTTGTAAAAGACATTAACATATATTCTACCGTGTATGCAGTTTTACAGTCACTCCTTCAGTAAAGAGGTCTGTGTAGAGCTGCCATCGCTGTTTTCCATTTCTAAAACTGACTGAAACACAGCAGTCAGACTACAAATTCTCTGAAGGCCTAGAGTGACTTTTTTTCAAAACATGAGCCCAACCCATCATAAATCAAAACCAGCTGATTCCACTGTCAGTTCCTAATTATGTTGTTAGTTAATCTGACATGTGCTTTCAGTCAACTCCTGAAGGTCTAACCAATGGGAGGGCTCACTTGGATGTATCTACCCAGATGCCACTTCGGACTATTTTCTTTGGGTATTCCAAGAACTAAATCTTTTTGCTGCCAACCAAAACCTCACTGCCACAAGCAGCAGAAGGACATGCTCTCGGAGTGCTACAGAAAGCTCAGCAGACTGAGAAAAAACTGTGAAAGACAACAGCTCTGCAACTGGCTGATTTCTCAGTGGGAGGTGAACAAGGGCAGTGTGCTTCTCTCCTATACCATTCTGAAAAATACCAAACAGACACTGGCTTTATAAAGTCCACTGCTTAATATTAACCTTTGAGCATATTCAGGCTCTCAAAAAATGCTATGGAAAGCTTAAAGATTTGTTGGCGCTGGTTGATAAGAGTATTACCTTGGACTTCTTTTCCTTTTTGGATGGAAAAATTAGAAAATTATTTTTTTAAAAAGTAACCACTTAGGTACTAACTTTCTTGTACCATTACATAATGCTTCCTGTTGAGGTAAAAAACGAGCCACCAATTTCTGACACAGCCAGCTGATGATGATTTGTCAGATACTGTGAGGGAAATTATTAGAACGACTACATCAGAGCACAAAGGCATTACCGGCAAATCCCAGGCAGAATAATTGACTTGAGCAATCTGTGTAATAGTCTGCAATCTGGTTTATGCTGCACAACAGTCACCGCATAAAACACTAACACATGCATCCGGACAAAAACCCATATATTTTGTGCTGCACCTCTCATTATAGTAAGTTGCAAGAGATAATTTATCCGACCTTGTGACCTTTACTGCAACACACAATAACCATGACAGAGAGATGATTCAGTTTGAAGCTTGTAGGCCCAAATTAGTCAGAGTGACAATCTGTTTTAATGAGCCAACTTTTACACCTTCTTTATCGCCTGTGTAATTTGCACTTGGCTTTACGTCAATAATTAGCCTATATAAACCCTCTGGCACACATTTTCCTGAGATTTCTCATTTGCCTAGGCCTACATAAGCAAAATAATATGATTAATACAATTAATAATAACAATTCTTCTAGAAAAAAGTGCCAAACTTTTAAACGAGCCTTTCATATATCAAACACTCTGTCACTGCTGAACACTGAATGTGGTTTACAAACAGTTTAATAAAACAAACACCTGGTAAAGTATTAGACCAGGTTATGATATACTGATAAAAGTAGCCCAGTGCAAAGAGGAAGGGAGAAACCTTAGCCTACAGCATGTCGAGGTCAGTCTTCACTAATCTGTGTTGAATGGTCAAACACATACTGAGGCCCAAAGGCAAACACCAATGGAAGAATATTGATGAACGAAGTCAACCATATTCCCACTTGGTTTCCTGAGCTCATGTGGTCTAGCTGAGTGTTTCATTCTGGCCTTAACATGTCGAGGCTGCCATTACACTCCAATTCCTGTATCCTTGAAGGAGTCCAGGTCAGACGCAGCAAGAGAAACCCTAACAAATTACTGCCATCTTCAGGTGTAAAGGAAACCAAGCACGTCCAGGTGAGGAGAAAGCCGAGCTCTGTTCTGGGCTCCCGTACAGGGAGCGTGACTGAAGTATAAGGTGGCGGGGGAGTTGAGGGGTTGATGAAAATGGCATTGCGTTTTGTCTAACAGTCTAGACCACCAGCATGCAATAATATTACACTGAAAACAATGGGATTCCAGGTGCTTGGACCCCTAACAACACAGTGTTGGATTCGAATAGCAAGTATGCATACTGCACTATAAAAATTGATGCATAAAGTCCTGCCACAAAATATACGGCCAAAATCTTGTATTAGGAGTCAAATGAACGATTGAGTTGGCACATTTGTAAACTGCTAGAGTGAACAAGGCTGATTAGTGATGTTCAGCTCTACCTGTCCATAATGAGCAGGTAGGTGGATGATGGTGTCACGAGCCATGTGCACGTGGGGTGGGGGGGTTTGGGAGGGGGCTTTATTTTTGCACAACACCTGGCTGGATGGGACTAAGAAGGGGGCACTGAACACTGAAGGTAAATGTGAACGTATCTGAGTAGTTATGATGTTTTGAGGGTTCTGTCCCGTTCGCTTTGCTTCAAAGACGTCAAACGTTACAATGGGACGTCGCGCACGAGCTGTGCAACAATGCGTACATGCTCGAATTAAACGATTCTGCTTCGCTGAATGTGAGCGCGCACTGGGACACCCCCCCACCTATACACAGCACACATACAAACAGCAAAAGGCACGAGCCCCGCACGTACCTCGGTGTCGTAGATCTTGGTGATGAGGGAGAAGGCGTAGTGGCCGGACTCGCGGATGTGTCGGATGGCGAGCTGTACCGCGGGCTCGATGCCCTGGCTGATGCTGCTCATGAGCGCCGACTCATTCATGGGCATGAGCACCATGATGGGCACGTCCTTGGCCGACCACGCTGCGTCCACGCCGTGGCCGGTGTAGTCGTTGCACACCTTAGCCGTGGCCACGGACGCCAGGAGCAGGCAGCTCGAGGCGAGAAGCAGGGACGGAGCCATGCCGCTGCTGTTGCTGCTGCTGCTGCCACTGCCGCCGCCGTGCGCGCGCAGGGGGGTATGAGCTCGAGAGCTGCGCCGGACTCAGCGCGCGGGCATTGCGGTGCTCTGAGAGAAACAGCGAGGTTTGGGGTGGGGGTGCGGGGGTAGGTGCTTGTAGGCGCGCGCTAGTGGTGGTGATGAAGAGGGGGGTGTTAAAGCAGAAGTGCACGAAAGCTGTAATTCCAAGAGAGGATGAAGAAGAGGAGGAGGACGAAGATTTGGGGGGCAGAGGAGGGAAGAGGAGAGGGGAGGGGGCTCTCAAACGGCGCGGCTTCCCCCTCCGCGCGCCACGCCGGTACTCCTCTGGTCCTGTGTGCGTGTGTTTTCCTCTTCGCTCGCTCGCGCGCGCGCACACGATCCCTCAATCCGTGCGAAGACGCAGAGCGCGAGAGTCTCCCCGAGCAGCGAGAGAGAGAAGCGGTGCTGAAGGAGGGAGGGAAGGAAGGAAGGTTGCAGGTGCAGAGCGAGCTCGAGCCCGGAATTCCCTCCCGCACGGGCTGCAAGCGCGTGCGCCCAGCAAAAAGCGAAAAAAGTCCGTGAGAGGCGCTGCGTAGAGTCCCAAATCCAAATTCCGAGTAAAAAGAGTAAAGACAGCAAGAAGAGTGGAGCGGCCTGCACGCGCCGCGACTGATGCTGCTGCTGCGGAGAGCGCGCGCCTGAGTGGCTCAGAAAAACACGAGGGGAGGGGGGGGGTTAGATTATTTAGAGCTGAGGGAGGAGAGAGAGAGAGAGAGAGAGAGAGAGAGAGTGCGTGCGCGCGCAAGAGAGAGAGAGATACTGAGAACAGAGAGAGAGAGAGAGAGAGAGCGGGAGAGAGAGATAGCGACAGAGAGCGTGCGCGCGCAAGAGGGAGAGATAGTGAGAAGAGTAAGAGAGCGCGCAAGCGGGAGATACTGAAAAGAAAGCATTAAGAGAGAGAGAAGGAAAGAGAGAGAGAGAGAGAGAGAGAGAGAGAGAGGGAGCACGTCGTGCTTGCATGGTTTAGTTACTAAGATTGTTGCATCAAGGATCGCGTGTAAAGTCCATTGTTTCCCCTCTTGGTGAAGGTTACCTCCTTTTATATTGTAGAAAAATTTAAACAGGCTATGACTGTCAACGCACGTTATGGCCGCCTTATGAACGAACATGATCATCTGCAGATATTGAGCGATTCAACTGGAGAATTCCAGCTCTTTGTGTCGATTAGTTATACTGCTGCACCAGAGATCGAATGCAGGTACAGGTTTTTCCTCTTTTACATGAATTATCACAGTACACGATGTACTAGTATGTGGCAAAAAAATGAAAGTCATGAATGTCAATATGTGGGCTGTGTTCCTTTACAGTTAATATTCACAGATTCACTTGCAGAATCCAACAAATCGACTAGAATGCAAAACACTTTTATACATCAGCTCCTCTCGAGCGCTACAGTTTCATCCAGATGAACAGTGCCACCTAGCAATGCCAACCTAATGATGGAGCTGAGGGTCAGCATGGCCAATGACTAGCATCGGGTAGAGGGGTATAAAGCCCCCAGCACTGTGGAGCTGTGTTCTCTGGACTGCTGGAACTCTATCCAACACCTGTGGGGTGAGGTTCAGTGTCGCCTGTGATTCAAAATTCATCATCCAACATCAGTGCCAACCTCACTAATTTTCTAGTGGCTGACTGCAAGCAAATCCTCACCGCAGTGTTTCAGCATCGAGTGTAAAGCCTTCCCAGAAGAGTAGAGGCTATTACTGCAGCACAAGGGGAAAAAATCCCTCATTATTGCTCTTGATTTCAGAAGAAAGGCTGGATTAGCAAGTGTCTGCAAACCTTTGGATATACAGCGGATCATGTATCATGAAAGTGTCAAGTATTGTGATGCTATACTGATTAAATGGATCCACAAAAATGTATTATGTTTTGTTTGTTAAGAATTTTGTTTAATATAACATATTCTTTTAACACTGATACAGTGAATATGAAAGCAAAAGCAGAGGACGGCCGGGCGGGAGAGAGCGCGATAAAGACAGAGAAACAAGTGCTCCTTAGCACACACCAAATGAAATCACAACAAACATGTCGCTGCTGTCGGAACAAAAGTTGTATCTCCAAAATGGTAACTTTACAGGAGAAGGAAAAAACATACTTTACTTTCAATGGAAGTCAGTGGACTCTTTTTTCCAAGTCATTTTGGGTAATTTCCTTTGGTCCATTCATCATGAAATCTACAAACAATCTAAATAGCAACAGGCATTTTCACATTATGCCAAGAATGACAAAAATGGAGATATGAGGTTTTGTTCCGACAGCAATGATATAAAGAACACAAATAAATACATATAATCTTTCTTGATTCCACCATACCAAATAAAACCCCATGCTTTGAGATTAAACATTTCCCACTAAAATATACAGAATTTTCATTGCACCAATATTTTTGACTCACCCTTAAATGTGAATCTGAAACATCTGAAGATTCTCAAATGCCCTAAAGCTAAATTTTTCTTACTTTCATTTTTTTTCTCTTATAACAGTTATGAGGTTTTACGTACCAAAAAATTATTATTTATTTTTGCACGATTTATTTTTACAATCCAACCTATCTTTATACCTTCCAATTTAATTTTTTTTTACTGTGCCTTTAAGACTAATACATGTATATGATCTCTGTTGTGACTGGCTGCCCTGTATTGCACCTCATTTAAAATGCAGTCTGTGCTGAAACAGTCCTTTTAACTTCATTTGAATGGGCAGAGCTAAACTGCTGTAGATGTGTAAATGTTCTGATTTTCATGACATCACAAAAACAATTAATTAAAAAGGCTGTTTTTGGGCTTAGTTTCCATATTTGGACTGAGGAGTGAACCGCATGTTTCAAAATTGTTATGTTTACATAGTACCTCAAACTCACGAGTTTTCCATGTGTAGTCCTGCTCACTGACTCTAACAGTTTGAATGATTATTCTAGTTAATGTGTGTATAAAAAATAATCATATGAATTTGCTGAGCATGTATAAACTGCGTCTGTAAGAATAACAGGCTACAAAAATACATGACAAGGAGCAAAGGAGAAACAGGTGAAAAGAGAGCAATCTTTCTGCCCATGATACACAAACGCACACACACACAAACGCACAAACAGACAGACACACATGCACACATACCTACAGGCTTGTCTGACATGTCTCTGCTTAATAGAGATTAATAGGACAGCCCAAGGATATCCTTCAGTGCGCCTCTGACAATGCATTCCTGCTGGATGCAGCCTGAATTTTGAATGTCAAATATTCAAAACAGCATGAATGAAAAATGAAACCTTAAGAAATGACCATTTCTGGCTTCTCTCTATCTAGTCATTTATTAAGAGAATCCTGTCATGAAATGGTGACCTTTTCTATGAATGTTAATCTCATTTGATCCTGAGGATATCAGCCGTAAGATTTACAGCATGTAATTTATAAAACAGGGAGTTGTTTTTAAAAGGTTCTACGGTACCAGATGCAAACACTTAAATAAACCCTTCAGCATATTTTTGTGGTCTGAATAACTTCACCAACGTAGCCATGATATTTAAAGTGTCCTGGAAGCCGCAATAAGAGTTTCGCCAGAGGCACGATGATAAATTGCCTCAGATCCATAACTGCAAGGTCACAGGTTCAGTACCCTTGAGGATGCATAAAAGAAATAAGATTAAAAGACAGAGAGCTGCAGGTTCTAATATCTCTGGCTGTCCATTTACTGCACCCTTCAATAAGGCATGCCCCAAGTTGTAATGAAAAGATTATATGACATAAAAGTTCCCACATTAAGGTTTAGGGGAGATTTTTTAGCACCAAATCAAACCATTTCCTTATGTTTCTTGGCAGAGCCTCAATGAAGGGATTTTATTTGACACCAGAGGGGTTTCAGATCCTTACATGGACCTCTGAGGATGTATTGTTATTTTGCAGTTCGCCATTAGCATCTGGACAAGCCCTAGGTCTAAGCCTGAGCCTATTAAAAGCATTTTCGAACAGCAACATAATATATTGCTGATGCATAGTCCCTGCTAAGTTTTGGGTAACACTTTACTTGAAGCCTGCTACATAACGCTGACATAACCATGCCGTAAACAAAGAGTTGTCACAGATTATGTCTGGTAATATACAGTGTCATGTTACGATTACAAGTAATTGTCATGACATTTGTCATAATGTTTAATGTTATGACAGCTAACATACATTTAGTGACAATTAGCATGTGACCTAAGCTGTTGTAACATCAAACATTATTGTATCAGTCATTACAATTACTGAAAATGGTAACATGACTGCTAGATAACTAAATAAAATGTCATGACAACACATCTGCTATGATATGTTAATGGCATGGTTATGTCATGTTACATAGCAAGGTTAAGGTAAAGTGTTACCATGTTTTGTTTTAACAAATGTCATTGGATCCTCTGAATTACAAAGTCACACAGTACGTCAAGCTTGAATATTGCTACATATATGCTGCAGGCAAACAGACAGTCCTGCACATTGAATTGACACCATAAAACTGTCAACCTTACCAAAATACCCCATGCAAAGCAGTAAGCTTTGTCAAGTGTGGTAGTCAAATGGCTTTGCCTGTAGCAGCCTACAATTTGAGTAGATATTGTTGTTATATATTAGCAGCCTTACTTACATGTGACTTGACAACACACACAGGAGTGTTCGGTGGCTTGTTGGATGTATTTTGACTACTTAATGACCTCACATTTCTGAGGACCCAGTGGTGTTCAAGGGGAAAATCTGCATAAGATAAAACACATTGGCGATTTGTTTAGAAGTGATTTTCAAACGTGTCATTTCTTCCCATCGTGAAAAACAACTTCCTGAGTTCCTCATTTGGGCATGTCGCTGACTACTAAATAACGTACGACCTCAGAGGTCCACTGTGAATGTCCCAAATCAATACTAAGCAATAAACAAATACATCACACATTCCAGAACTCTCTTAAAGAT